TTACACAACCAAATTACCCATGTAGCCAACACCCAAATCCAGAAAAAAGAACGTTACCAACACCTCAGAAGCCCCCTTGTCCGTCCTTCCAGTCACTACCTTTCCCCTCCCAAGGGTAAGCATCATTCTGACTTCCACCAGCAGTTTTGTTTTTGTACTTCATATTAATGGAATTATAGTGTGTACTCTTTTAACTGTCTGGCTTCTTTCATACAACATTATGTTTATTAGTGTCATCATTTTGTTGCAAGTAGTCATAAAGCATTCATTTTCATTATTATATAGCATCCTATTATGTGAGTATGCCACAATTGATATATCCACTCTAGTGTTGATGAGCATTTTAGTAGTATCCTACTTTTGGCTCTTATATATAGTGCCAGTATAGACTCTTATAGGAGTACATGTTCCTTGGCGAACAGATATATGCAGTTCTGTTGAGTCTATATCTCAGAGAGGAATTGCTAGGTCCTAGGGTATGTTAAGCTTTAGAACTGCCAAAGTTTCCTAAAGTATTTATACCATTACATTTTCCATCACAACAGTTGTAGTTGCTCTATGTCTCTGTCAACACTTGGTATCTTCTCTTTCATTTTAGCCATTCTAGGGACATGTAGTGCTGTGGTATTGTAGGTTTAATTTGCATCTCTCATGATTAAGAAAGTAGAGCACCTTTCTGTGTTTTTTGGCCATTTAGATATCTTTCTTTGTACATGTTTGTCGTTTTTATTTTTCTGTCGGTTTTTTTGCTTACTGATTTTATAAGTTCTTTATATATTTTGGATACATGTCCTTTGCATATATTGGATACATATATGCATATTGCTGGATTTTTGGATATGTATGTCTTCAACTCGGTTGGTTGCCTTCTCCCTCATGACACCTTTTGATGAACTGAAAATTATTAATTTTAATATTATACAGTTAATCAATTCCCCCCCTTGTATGCCCAGTGTTGTGTCCTATTTAAAAAAAATTCTTGCCTACTCCAAAGTCACAAAGATCTTTTTTTCCCCTAAAAGCTTTGTTTAATCTTTCACATTTAGATTTGCAACCAATTTGGAAGTGATTTTTGTGTGTGGTGGAAGGTAAAAGTAAAAATATATTCTTTTCCTATATGAATATCCATTGACCCAGCAATATATATTGAAAAGATCATCCTTTTCTCACTGCACTGCATGTCAAATTTGTCATAAATCAAGTGACCATTTATGTGCAAGTCTGTTTCTTAGACTTTTTCTGTTCATTGGTCAGTTTGTCTGTCCTTGTGCCAATACTACTCTGTTTTAATTTATGATAGCTTTATAGTAGCAACATGGTTTTAAGTGATTATAACTTTCAATAATATGATTGGAAGTCAAATGCTCAAAGCCTGAATTTGAATCTTCTGGATAAGTAAGTTATAGTTTGTATATATTCTATTGACATAAAGGGGGGAGGGCAAAGAAAACTTATGAAAAAGTTTAAAATATCCTGGCTAGTAATGAGAAGATGAGAACAAAGATTATTGCTGTATGTTTAGTGCTGTGTTTAAGTTTAGTAGGGAACTGGATTTCTACTTTCCGGGTATGGGAGGCACAATTTAAGACAACAAAAAATACAAAAGAATTGTGTACAAGTATACAATTAAGTGTAAACTTGTGTGGTATAAACCAAGTGCTATACAAATGAAGGGAAAGGAAAGATCAGTGAGGGATGGAATAGTTAGGAAAGGCTTCACAGAGGAAGTGGGCCTTGAAAGACTCCTTGAATTGATTTGGGCCCAATTAGGTCATTTCTTAATGCAGAACATTAGAGCCTTCGTATTTGTTTATCTCCTTAATATATTAAATCCACTATCATATCCTGCTCTCATTTCTTTAGATGCCTCTTTAATATACTGAGTTTCAAAGTGACTAATGGTTTTAACCCTAAATGCACATCTGAAGCACCTGGGAAACTTAAAAAATACTGATGCCCAAGCCTCATCAGACTAATGAAATCAACCTGTGAGTGTGAGGCCTGATCATCAGTATGTTTAAATGTCCTTCCAGGTGATTCAAATGTACAGCCAATGTTGAGGATCACTGAGTTAGAAGGTGCCTTCAATCACTGGTTCTCAACTAGGGAGAGGGTTGTCAGATAAAATACAAGACACGTGGTTAAACTTTTTTTCAGATAAACATTTTGTTCCCTAGGGGAGATTTGGCAATGTCTGGGAATATTTTTATCATGACCAGGGGTTGCTATTGGCATCTAGAGAGTAAAGGCCAATGATGCTGCTAAAGATCCTACAATGCACAGGACAGCTCCCACAACAAAGAATTATCTGGTTCAAAATGTCAATAGTGTCAAAGTGGATAAATCCTGCTTTGGAGCAACAAAAGAAGCAGTCATAAGAAGAGAAAAGAGAGTTGGAACTAAAAGTAGAATTTTGTTCAAATGTAAGATTATATTGATGTTACAAGTAACAGAAGCCTAAGTGAAGGTTTTAAATTTTAAGCCAGAGAACTACTATTTGAAGTATAGCATCTATAATTGAACTTTTAGATGCATGTTTCAGTAAATTTTCAAAGAAATTCAGAACATGCGGAGTTCAATGGAATGAATTCTGAAGTTTCTTAATCTACGAAATGTGGCAGCACTATTAGTTAACTCAAAAGTTCTTGCAGCTTAAATTCTGTGACTCTTTGATATTTTTAATCACTTAATAAACTTGATAATGACCATGAAGAGCCAATATAGAAATATATACATATATTGGAATCATAGCCAAGTTCCAGCGCTGGGTCTTAACACTAGCTGTGTGATCTGAGGCAGGTTCCTATGCTTCCCGTTTGTCTACTATAAAACAAGGGATGTGGGTCACAAGATCTGAAAGATCCTTTCCAGTATTTAACTTCTACACAATAATTCCTAAAGTTCTTGTCAAAATACAAATTTCACAACAAAAACATTTTTCAGTGACAGGTATAATATCGATTTCAATGGATCAGCCTTATTTTAAAAGGTAGCAAATCTATGTTTAAGATGAAAATTTTACAAATTCTTTCTTTACAGGGTCCTGATCAAGTGAATATGATGAAATTGATACCTGCAATGTTTTCTTACTGCAGTACATAATAGTCCACCTCTTTCTACTATTATCAACAACAGTCCCTTGGGTTATATTTTCCAAACCTGAATCTTGCTATAATATTTCAGAAAAAAATTTTCAACTGGCAGTTACTGCTTCTCATGCTCTTTGTTTCTGGAAATCCTGTTACAATGCAAGATGATAAAAGGAGTCCCACCACCATGTACCCCACCCCTCATACAATACAGTACACAGTCATAGACAGTATACACAGCCATAAGTATCCTTTTCAACCAGTAGATGGCACTTCAAAATTGTTAAACCAAAAGTTGAAATTTTAAGGGAACTTGGCTCAAAGAATGGTGCAAGGTAGGAAATGCCTGAATAAGCAATATGCACATTAGAAACAATGAGGGTGATGCAAGGAAGTGGACCAAATAACTTTTTTTGTGGGAGCTGTCTTTTGCATTGTAGGATGTTTAGCAGGTTCCCTGGCCTCTATCTACTTGATGCCTATAGCACGCTCCCTCAAGTTGTGACAATCAAAAAATATCTCCAGACATTGCCAGTTTCCCCTGAGGGGCAAAACTGCCCTAGTTCAGAATCATTGAGAAGGCAAAAGCTATGCAAACAGGTGATCTATAATTATGCACAAAAACGGTTAATTTCACACTGTTGAGTGAAATAAGCCAGACACAAAAGTGAACACATTATATATGGTTTCATATATGTAAAGCATCAAAACAGACAAAACCACTTTATGCTGTAGAAAATCAGGATAGCAGTCGCCCTTGGGAGGAGCAAGGGGAGGAAGTGCCTGGAAGGGGAGCAGGATGAGCCTCTGCAGGGCCAGTAATGTTCTGTCTTGATCTGGGTGCTGGTTACAGAGATGAAAATTTATTGAGCACTTATGATATGTGCACTTTTCTGCATATATACTTCAATAAATTTTTTTCAAAATGCTATGGAAATCACTACTTCATCTTTTTCATAATGAATGAAAACTTTGTAGCTCTTCCTCTTTGAATCACTTATTATCAAGCTACATGTTAACTAAGCAAAGAGTTTTAAATCAAATTGTGAACTAAACAAAAAAGTTGGTTATCTCCATGTGTTCCTTTTAAAAATATGCACTTAATTAAAAAAATACAGAAAAAATCCATTTCAATTAATTCATTTGGTAGAAGTTACTTGTTCTCTTGAAATTTGTCTCTATTCCTATTGGCAAAAGCCTCACAAATCAAAGATGATTCTTTTTAATTTTAAAGTGCTGTAAAAACAAGCTCTGTCACAAATGAGCATTTCTGTAAAGTATCACAGAATACAATTTCCATCTATTGCTAAAACCAGAGAAATATGATTTAGCAGCTGAGGCACAGTTTTTTCTGAAAATAAACCTTTATCTGTCTCAACCCAGGAGTTAAGAATTATTTTTTTAGTATGTATAAGGATGAAATTCATATGCTTTTATACAGAAAGATGTAGTATTATTCGTATTCTTCCTGCACATACATTATTTCAAAATAATACTTAATTGGTACCAGAACACTTAACAGGTAATGTAGAAAAAGAAAATTAAAAGTTAAATCTACACTGAATCTAGAATTCTCAGTGGCACTTATTTAAAAAAAAAAGCAATTTAAAAAGATTAATGTTGTAGCTTTTTAGGAATCTTTAAGAACGATTTTAAAAATACTGCAATGGGGCCGGCCCCGTGGCTTAGCGGTTAAGTGCGCGCGCTCTGCTGCTGGCGGGCCGGGTTCGGATCCCCGGCGTGCACCGGCGCACCGCTTCTCCGGCCGTGCTGAGGCCGCGTCCCACATACAGCAACTAGAAGGATGTGCACCTATGACATACAACTATCTACTGGGGCTTTGGGGGGAAAATAAATAAATAAAATCTTTAAAAAAAAAAAAAAAATACTGCAATGAAAAAACACATATCATCATAACCAAATGTGTGATTTATTTTTGGAGAAAATAATTAAAACTGAGGTTTTTCCAATAAAGGGGAGAAATAACAATATGAGATCATACCCTGGTTACATGTTAATTACCACATTCTGTACAATGTGGATGTGTTCAACATGCATTCAATAATATGAATGAACATTTGAGATTTAAAATCACAAACCACTTGCCAGTTGTTAATTCATAAAGGTGGAATAAATACCTAGAAATAAGTCAATTTTAAAAACTAAACCTTTTGACAGTGTTTATAGATCAACCCAAATGTTATGTACAAATAGTACAGCAAATAAATTGACATTACTGCTAGTTTCCACTTAATTTCTTCATAATATGACTGTCCGGTGTTGCATTAGTGAAGATACTTCCTACAACCACATGAGTACCCCAGAGACTATGACGAATCACTTTACAGCAGCCAAGATCATCGACAGAAAATCCTAAATGTCGATAGCGTTCATCTGTTTCAAAAAGAGTGCTGTTTGTATATGGTCCAAAAAACTGGAGAAAATAAAAAATGAAGTCATATTTTCATTAGTAAGAAAGACAATGGAATAATAATTTCTATGCAAACATGAGCACATATCTATTCTAAAACTCCAAATATTGAAAAAATCAAAGAAGAAATACAAAGGTCACATGCAACACCTAAACTGCCCTAACACCTCCTCTCCCCCAACACAAGTGAAACGATCTAGCAAATTTCATGTTATTTAGAACCAAATGCATAACATTAAACGACCTTTAAAGATGGAACAAACCTCAGACAATTATCTATGGTTCACCTTCATCATTTTCAAGATAAGGAAACTAAAGCCAAGAGTAAGTTTTTTATTTCTAGTCTACACTCTATCTTACTTGACTTTGAGAAGAAATAGTTTACATTCCTATCTTAAGATTCAAAATTTTATTACTATTTGTAACTGAAAGATACAGCCAGAATTTAAAGTGTGACCACAACAGTGGTTCAGTTTTCTTCAAAGTGTAACTTTATAAATGTGATTTCTAAAAAGTTACTTTTCTAAGTATTTCTTTTACCATCCATATTTTCTTAATTCTAAAAATAACTGTTTCGTCCTTAAACAAACCATTGTTTCTAATTTTTAACTAATAAATAATAAACACACTAATTCAATGTAAACCAAATAATGTCTACTAGTGAGGGTGGCAAACAATAACTGTTTTTATTATTTTCAATAAAAAAAATTTAAAGTGGCAGAGAAACTTAACTATGAGTGACAGAGGTCCCTCGAAATTGTAAACGCAACTGACTCATAGTGGTACTTCTCTGGGTAAAATTGTGAAGTTTTAAAAAAGTCTTAAATGATGTATTTTTACCAAGGTTATAATTGTAAACAATTTTATAATAAAAGCCATTCCTACTTCAAATTATATAATCTGGCTTTCAAAATGTATTTAATTACTCACTGCCAAACCAGATGATGGGTCTATAAAGTCAGCCCAATAGCCTTCAGCTCGAAGAGCGTAGCAAATTTCCTTAGCACCACTGATGAACTGCATAGAAAAAGACACAAATAATATGCTAAAGATAGCAGTACTACAGATTGCTTTATTTTTTAATAAATTTTTGAATAAATATCTTTTGCTTCAGATAGAGAACTCAATAAAGATCAATAAAAAATTAAAACGGGGGCCAGCCCAGTAGCATAGTGGTTAAGTTCACACACTCCGCTTCACTGGCCCGGGGTTCGTGGATTCAGATCCTGGGTGTGGACCTACACACTGCTCATCAAGCCATGCTGTGGCAGTGTCCCACATACAAAATAGAGGAAGACTGGCACAGATGTTAGCTCAGGAACAATCCTCCTCAAGCAAAAAGAGGAAGATTGGCAACAGATGTTAGCTCACAGCCAACCTTCCTCACCAAAAAAAAAAAAAACAAAAAAACTGATGATAAATTAGACCATAGAGTCATAAGATTATTTTCACTAGTCCAAAAGACTAATGGTTCATATAACACTTTTATTTCTTTCAAGAAGTCTAAATTGTGTATTTTTTCTTCTAAATTATTTCCTATTTTAGGAACTATTTCTAATTGGTTCTGTGCTATTAACTCCCAAATTTGTCACAAATTATAAACTTTAGTTGCTATTTGGTATCATTATGGAGATATTAGAAATACAGTAAGAAAAAATATTCATAATGCAAAGATTTGAACCATTCATTAGTTTGAATGAAAGTTGTTTAAAAACATATACTTGTTTGTATATCCTTCAAAAACATCTATCAACTCACATAGTCATGAAATATTTCTGAAAAAGCACATAAAAATAATAGAAAATTGGACAGATGGGGTACAGGGCTGGACGGGATACTTACTTTTCACTATATATCCCTTTGTATCTTTAGCATAGTGTATAATCATTACACACTGCATCTACATGCATGTATCACCTATTCGAAATCTTGCCTTATCAACCTAATTCCTATGATGTCTTTATTAGCTTTATTGGAAGTCTCTAAGCAGTGAAAAAGACAGTAACAAATATTAAGACCAGATTAGAATGTTAAAAAAAAGGACAGACCATAAATTTAAAAAAAAAAAGGGCACTTTCAGCCATAACAAGTACCAAATTTGCCATCTGCTGAAAACTATAACACTGACCAAAATATATGAGGCAACTGTTTTTAGAACCCAAACAACAGTTAGACACAACAGTAATCTCTGAGAGAAGGGAAACAAATGAGGCGATACCCTTATTTGCTCCAGCTTTCTGTCTGGAGACACCTTCTTGTCGCAGGGCAAAGAAGAGCCCAAGCAAAGTGATGGTGTCATTGAGCTGAGCAAGTAGAAAGCAAGAGTTCCGGATAGCCAAAGCATCTGGAATTTATGGGGCCAGGTACTGCAGAAGAGGAAGATGCACAAAGGGGGCTCCTGACTAGGCTACAGAGCAATTTGCCCTGGTTTGGTAGTCAAGGACTGAACTGTTCACACACAAGGTAAGATTCCACGAGGCCTAGCAGAGTGTGCCCGCTACATACAGCCCGAGGGCCAAATCTGGCTGGCTGTCTGTTTGTGTAAATACAGTTTCATTGGAACACAGGCATGCCTGTTTAGGGTCGAACTGAATAGTTGAGACTGTACGACCTACAAAGTCTGAAAATTTACTATTTGGCTCTTTACAGAAAGTTTGCTGATCCCTGCTATAGAGGGACACAACTTAAGCTAACTTATTTTCTCCCAATACTTTCCTGTAAACTAATGAAAAACATTAAGATAATACTGTATTCTTTAGGTTATCTTCATACTCAAAATTACACTTAATTGCTGTATTTCATTAATCCTCATAACTCTTAAAAATAAGAAAATGACTGAATACAGCCTAGAAAAGTCATTAGAATATATATCAATTTAATGAACAGATGCGCCATACACAAAAAGTACAAGGAAAAGAAAATAATGCAATCAAATATTTGCAAAGATTAACTAAAAGAATCCCAAATTATTACACAAAAAAATCAGTTTAAGTATTTCTCTTAAGATTTCTGTTCATCAACAGCAAACACTGACATCTACTGGAAAAAACTAGAATAGATTTAAACCATAAAACAAAATATCTACTTGAACAGTAAGATACATATGGTTCTAAAATATTCACTAACATATTTAAAATAGAAAAATCTGTTATTTTTCCATAAAAAATAAAATAGTTTCAGTGATTATAAAATTAAAAATCACATGAGAAGGCATGCTGGGACATTTCAAAACCCTGAAGTTGATTTCAGAAAATTGACTTACAACTATACTGAGGTCAGGATCAAATGAGGCTCAGAATCTTTAATTGATCAAAAATTAGGACCACTAATGCAACACACATGTGAGTGTCTAGTGACTAAATGATAGTGATGATAAGTGTATATTTCCTAAGCAATGTCTTCATATGTAAATAGAATGTTTATCGAGTTATTGCCTATTTAAATTTCAACTCTCTAAATTCAGATCTCTTTAAAATCAGAGACAACGTCTTATGCCTCTCTGTAAGTTCCTTGTTAATTAGTATATAACTTGCTCATGACTGTTAACTACTACATGAAATTTATTAGCAAAGCTATATGTGGGACATTTAAGCATGAAGTCATTATCATAAAATACTGTTTAGTATGTAAATTATTATATATATATATATATATATATTTTTTTTTTTGTTGTGGAAGATTCGCCCTGAGCTAACATCTGTTGCCAATCTTCCTCTTTTTGCTTGAGGAAGATTCGCCCTGAGCTAACATCTGTGCCAATCTTCCTCTGTTTTATATGTGGGTTGCCGCCACAGCATGGCTGCTGACGAGTGGTATATGTCCGGCCTGGGAACCAAACTCAAGCCGCTGAAGCAGAGCAGGCCGAATTTAACCACTAGGCACAGGGCCAGCCCCGATAAGTTATTTTTTACAAATGGAGAGAACCATACAGCTAACCCTAAAGAAAATATAAAATAATTCCTAATATTATCCTGCATGGAAATTAGTAAAAGGAATGTTTTCAACTATAGTTAGCTAAGATGCCCAAGTGAGGTAATCTTAACCTGTCATACAGGCAAAGGAATATTCCTTTCTATCTTGTAGACAAAGAAATTGATATAACCCAATATCAAACTCTAACAGAAATAATTATATAACTTTTAAATATAAGACTTGAAGTTACCACTTTTCATTGCTTAGGTTGGTAAATATGAAAAGAAATGCTAATATCCAGGGTAGGCTAGGGTGATAGTATTTACATTAGGACAATTTTTTTGGTGGGCAAATTGGCAACATGTATCAAAATATAAAATGTATATATCCCTTGACTCAGCAATGCCCTATATAGGAATCTACAGATATGAGGGTGTGCATAAAAATTCACAGCCTGTAATAGCAGAAGTTTGATTTTCAACTTATAAATTACTAAGGAAATTTTAAAATACTTTAAAAAATCTGTGGTTTGCCCATGCAATGTAATACTATGCAAACTTTATAAAGAATGAACTATATCCATGTGTAACGCTATGGAAAGGTGTCAAAACATATCTTTTGGTTAAAAGCAAAGGACAGGAAAAAAAATGTGAGTACACAGTATTATATTATTATTGTACTGTGTACTCTGTTACGGTTCACTCCTTGAAGAAGGTTGGGGTAATTTTCACTTTTTACTTGACATGCTTTAAAGACAGAGAGAGAAAGAGATATGGAGGGAGAGAAGAGGATCAGAGAGAGGGAGAGAGAGAGATGGCTATGAAGAGACAATTTTACTTTTTTGTTGTTTTTTACTCTACTTTCCAAATTTCCTAAAACAGACATAAATTTAAAAAAAGGCGATATTACCAGAAAGAGTCTCAGTTTTTCAAAGATACTAAAAAAAAAAATTGTGGCATTTTTATTCTCAGAAAAGATGTAACTCCTTTACTACTGAAATATGTTAGCAGAGAATTAATAAAGGCTAGAAAAGACACCCATCATTTTAAAACACTGGTTCACTGGTATTTAAATAAGATTATAAAATTAAATTGTCAGCAACTGAAAGAATTACCTTTTCTAAGAGCATTTCTCTTTCATTTTCTACCTCCTCACTCCAAACAGTCATATCATTCTTAGTTTTCTGTGTTACAGTCAGAATCATTAGTTTGTTGGTGGCCACTTCTGGAAACAGTGATTCAAAATCTATAAATGAAATAAGAATAAAAATTCCAGGGAGAAAATAATTTGTTTTTTAAAGAAGAAACAGTGCATAAAAATACTTCTTTAGAAAAATGATGATTAAATTAAATTATTGTGGTACCGAGTTAGGTTTATAAATGCTTATTATTTTTGAAAAGGATGAAATGAACTTAGTTTTGGTTTACTCCTGCTCTTGTTGGATGAACTGAAATATTACTGCCAACAATTCTGAAGAGTAAGGAGAATTACATGTTATTGGTCTTGTATCTTTCAAAGAAAAAAAAAGATTATTATTAGTACGATTTTTCTCAGAACTACATCAGCTCAAATTATATCTATAATAATCACTCAGGAGTGGAAGGACTTTAGGGAAAAAGTTATTAAAAATTCTACTATTCTTGTCTAATGGCAGCTTGAGGTTAGATGTCAGGAGACATTTGAAAGCCTTTATCTTGGCCATGCAATCATTTCCAGCCAGACACATTACAATATTAAGTTACAAAAGCATTATGATTCCTATGGAGTACATTAAACACATTAAAAAATTAGTGACATTATCTAATATGCATTACTGTAAAATGTATAAAGCATAACATACCTCTTCGCAGCAATTCTGGACATGTTTGGATCGCACACTCTACTTTGGCACTTTCAAAGTAAGTTTCTGCCCTGTTAATTTCTTGTTCAACAGGTGCATCATTACCCTAAGGGAAATAAGAATTATAAGTAAACATAATCTGGAGTTCAAATAAAATGTCTTGCCTGTTATGAACTTGTCTTCCCTAGAAAGTTTTTTTAATAATCCTAATCTAACTGGCAGTGGGGATAACAGTCAGTGTTTTTTTAATACTCAAACTTTTCTCTATGATGAATATGAGATTTGAAACTTCTAAAAAAAAGTAGAATAATAAAACCATGAATGTCTAAGACTTGACACGGATACAAGTTGGCTAAGAAACTAAGGAAACTGCCATAATTGTGCTTACAATGTTACCTCTTCTGATATTTTGTGATATCTAAGTATCCTTTCTTTTGTTCTGTAACCTGTAAAAGGGGGATAATAACACTAACTTACAAAATAATACGATTAAATATATAGTCTCCTACAGGAAGATCTTAGAGGCTTTTTATTCAACTGAAATTTACTAGCCACCTACTATACATCAGATATTATGACAAGAGCAGGCACTATAATGGTAAAAAATATCCACTCCTCGGGGCTGGCCTGGTGGCGTAGCAGTTAAGTGCATGTGCTCCGATGCGGCAGCCAGGGGTTCGCAGGTTGGGATCCCAAGCGGGCACTGATGCACTGCTTGTCAAGCCACGCTGTGGCGGCGTCCCATATAAAGTAGAAGAAGATGGGCACGGATGTTAGCCCAGGGCCAATCTTCCTCAGCAAAAAGACTCAGGGCTGATCTTCCTCACCAAAAAAAAAAAAAAAAAAAAAAAAAGCCCAGTCGTCATTCTTAGGTATATCAGCTGGTAGAAGAAAAATAGCACAAATGTAATCCAACATGAAAAGTGCTACAGAGTTATGAAGAAAGTCTTCTGACAGTATAAATGGGGAAAAAACATGCTTTACTGGCAGAAATCAGGAAAAGGTTGAAATCATATTTGACTTACCTGTTAATTAATGTGTATGTTTGATAGGTAAAGAAGAGGTGGAATATAGGTTAGGAATTCAGGACGAAAAACAGTCCAGCAAGAGATCACAGTGCAAAGGCATGCAAAGGTCAAAGAGAATAGTGTATTTAAAAAAATGAAAAGTATGCTGTGATTAGAGTGCAGAGGGAATAGGAAGTAGTGGGAGCTATGGTGGGAAAGATAAAAGATCAAAATTGTGGGAAGCCATTTATGTCACATTAAAAATTTTTGACTTGAGTCTATAAGCAATGAGGAATAGCCAGATCAGAAATAAAAAGCTAATGCTAGGCTTACTGTGGAGGATGTATGCTAATGAGGAGGAGCAGATGACAGACCAGTAACAGCCGACAGTTATTGATTACTTAGTGTATTTAAGTGCTTTCTATACATTTTCACATTTAATCCTCATAGCAACTTTGTGGGCTAGGGATTACTATTACCCCCATTTTACATATAAAGAAACAGTCAGAAAGGTTAAGTAACTTTCTCAAGGTCACAAAATTAGGTAAATGGCAGAGGTAACTTTTGAACCCAGATTCATCCTATCTCCATAGTCCATCATACTACGCCTCTAAGAATCCAGTTAAGAGAAAGAGGCCTTCAACTGGCAGTATTAGTGAGAACTGAAAGGACACAAATAATTTAACAGCTACTTCAGAGATGGAAGCAATGCAATTTTGTCACTACTTACGGAAGTATGATGGAGCAAGTGGTCAAGGTTGGCAAGATAATTTTTATCTTGGGATAGTGGGAGGATTACTAAGTCATTGGTACTAGTGATAATATGGGAGTAAGGACAGGTTTTGAGAGAAAAAAGGACTAATTTAGTATTAGACATGTAAAATCTGGGGACTTGTGAGACATCCAGATAAAGATGTTCAGCAGGCAGACAGAAATATAGAACCAGAAATCTCAGAAACAGAAATACTAAATTAGGAATTATAAAAACATAGCCTATGTGGGGCCAGCCCAGTGGTGCGGTGGTTAAGTTCACATGCTCTGTTTCGGCGGCCCGGGGTTCAAGGGTTCAGATCCCGGGTGCGGAACTACACACTGTTCATCAAGCCAAGCTGTGGTGGCATCCCACATACAAAATAGAGGAAAGTGGGCACAGATGTTAGCTCAGGGACAATCTTCCTCAAGCAAAAAGAGGAGGACTGGCAACAGATGTTAGCTCAGGGCCATCTTCCTTACCAAAAAAAAAAAATAGCCCAGGGAGGAAGCCAAGGGATTAAGTGACCAGGGAGTAATTCAAATGAGAAGGTAAAGGACAAAAATGTATGGGAAATATCATGTAATTGGTAGACAGAAGAGGAGCCAAAAAGACTGACAAGGAATTATCCGAGATAAAAAGTCAGGGGAGGTCAACTGCGTCCCAACATTAGGTTATCCGACATAACCCATAATAATTTCGAGAAGTTGTTGATTTTAACAATATGGCTTTGATCAAAAACTCAGCCTGAAACTATGTAGAAATGTGAAAAATGATAAGGATAAGGGGTCTAAATTACATGTAACTTTTCACTTGAGTGAGCAATGATGCAATACCAGTTTAAAAATTCATTAAAAAAAATCTCTCAGAACTTGTTAAAAAAACCTACTTCTAAGTCTTCCTTTTTGGTTAAAAAACCTATTTACGTGTCTTCCTTTTTTAATGTATCTGAGGAATTTCAGAGATCTCAAAATTTTAAGTTTTTAAATCGCTAGAGGAGTATAAAACTAGTCGGAATTTGGTCCATATATAAACTATGATTACCATTTATAAAAATGAAAAAACAGGGAGTCCAAATTTCCAGTAATACAGAAATTACTTAATTATCTATATTTGAAATAACCAGTTATTAAAAAAATATTTTTGAAGAATTATTTAATTACCTAAGAGACTGTAATCTGAAGTTAAGTAAAAAAAATTATATGGCAAAGACTATGTATAGCAAGATGCCAAGTTTTTAAAAGCTATATATGTAGTTTTTGTATATATTGCACTAAAATATTTTTTTTTTTACTTTTTCAATGAAAGTAATATGCTCACAGTAATCAGAAATTAATATAGCATTAATAATTAGAAAAACAGAATAAATGATATTAACAATTTACCTGAAATTCATTCACATATTGTGCCATCACAAACTCATGTCTTTCACTTGATAAAGGTTCTGCTAGAACATCAGGCAAAGTTTTATGAACCTGGCTTTTCTTCTGTGACACGGTCCCATTGAGATGACAATCAAAACCTATGTTTCCGGGAAGCTGGAATCTCTGATCTTGAGGTCCAAATGGTCCCATAGTTTCATCAGGCCATACTGTTCGAGAACCTGAAGAAGTACAACAAAATAAATTATTTTCTCCTTAATAGTTAAGTGCACTAGTTGAGTGAAAGAATACTCTTCTTACAATTATGTATTTTTTTACCCAAATGATAGATCTTCAGATTTGCTGTCCTGTGTGAATATAAATTAGTTTCATGTCATTTCCAAAACACTAATCATTGCAACCAGCTGTCAGCTCAGAAACAAGTCCATAATTAGGGGAAGTATTCAATAAAGTACTGGAATCCATACTACGCAAATACTTGATAGTCAGTAAAAATAATATAGTAAATCTTTATGTACTAATACTGATGAAGTCCAGGACATATTACATTAAAAGAAAAAGCTAAGTCAAAGAAGAGCATGTATAACATTTATTTTACATCCTTATATTTATGTTTTTCAATACAGAAAAAAGATCTAAAAGGGAAGACAAACTTAATAGTGGTTACCCTTGGGGAGAGGCATTCAGCTGCTGTTACCTGGTGGCACAAAACATTAATGGTCTGGGAAAAATTCTTGTATGAACCAATGCGACATAAAGTCCTATTTATCAGCCACATGAGTTAATATGGATTAAACACTTACAGAAGAACAGAGCATATTACTTTATTCACTTAAAACTTAAAAAATGTCCTAACTTGTGAAAAATTTAAAAAGATCCAGAAAAAAATAAAGTAGAAAATTAAGCAAAGAAATACGAAGAGTAGGAGTTTGGTTTAGAGAAAGGAAGGGACAACTGTTGCACACATTAGTTGGCAATAAAAATAAATATTTTTAATACCCTGCCAGAACTGAGCAACTGAAAAGAGCCATGTCAATCAATAAGGCTGTCTCATCACTACACCGTTAAGTGCCACTGTATCCCTTTTCCACAACTATGACAGACATCACCCATCAATCACGGAACTCTTTCCTGCTGAACCCAGACACTGACTCATAATTCTCAACCCAAACACTCTAGCCCAATACTTCTTAAATCTTAAGTATTTAATAATCATCTGAGATTCTGATTTAGTAAGTCCGGAGTGGGGCTCAAGATTCTTCGTTTCTACCAAGCTCCCACATGATGCTGATGCTACTGGTTTGCAGATCATATTGAGTAACAGGGCTCTAGACAGCCACTAATGACTGACTGGAGTTATAAGCTAAAACATATTAGCTATTTTTGAACAAGATGAGTTTTAAAGACTACTCAGATTTAACAGTGTCTTTAAAGAAAATAAATATCCCTTATTAATAGTGAATTTGAGCACATTTTCACGTTTACTGGTCATTTAGGTTTTCTCTGCCATGAATGGCCTGTTAATACCCATTTTAAAATCTTTTGTTTGGTTTTCTACTGGGTTGCCTTTTTCCTATCAATCTACAAAAATTCTTCATATATTCAGGACACAAACTATTTACATATTCTGAATGACAAATCTTTCATTTATGATACATATATGTTTACCCTTCAGATGATGTAAACTGGGAAGTAATCAGAGACGGAATTGTAAAAGAAAACCAGGGCAAGACGGAAGGCTTTGAATGCCCAAATGAACTTAGTTCCATTACATTGTAAGTAATGTGTTGCATGAAAAAAGGATTCCATGTGTAATCCTTTTAGGACACATTAGGTTAAGTTTCTAAGAGCACTCTCTTAATATTTCAGTGTGCATTATAAACCTCCAAGATAGGAATATGGCACAAGGCATTCCTCAAACTTATCTAACCATAGAACTTAAAAAAAATTTTAGAGCTTTAACAATGATTCATAGCTTGAGGACAGTTTGGGAACTGCTACTGAAAGCACTGAGAGATACCTAAGATAACTTGATAAACCAAGTTTATCAAGGAAGTGACATGATTAAAATATTTTAGTATGATCAATACTAAAATCATACACACCATACCGCAATAGTTGTGTGTAAAATGGACTAGAAGAAGCAGACTTGACAGATAAGTACTACAAAGTACAAAAGTACAAAGTACAAGCAGATTACCTGCTATATGTTGTTACTGATTCAATAAACACTAACAATAAAAGGTGCCAGCTACATTTAAGAAATTCAGCAAAGAATGGCAAGAAGTAGTAACACAGTTTAATAGAATCAAAAGAAGATCTGTTTCAGGGAGGACTGTGTATATTTGAAGACAGAAAGAAACTAAAATTCAAGAAAATAAGTTTTAGAAGCCAATATTCATTCATTCTTGTTTATATTGAAGCTTTCTGATATAAATATTTAGGCAAAGCTCCGATTTTATTTTCAACGGGATAACCATAACTTTAGAAAATCTGTAAAACCTCAAGAAGAACTATCACAGGAAACACAACTCAAAATATTTTGAAACAATTATATACAATAGCTTTTACTTACATATATCTGGAGGTGTAGTGGCCACATGAGACTCATCAGAACCTGAAGATCCTGCAGTTGAAAAGGCTTTGGGATTGACAACCCTTCTAACTAAAGAGCAAAATCCTGGGAGATAGGAAACCAGTCTGGCTCTGTTACAGAGCACCTAAGAATGACACAAAAATTAAAATCATTTGTTTCGGATATAAATGTTACATGTACATAGACAATCTCTGTCAAATCTTCACACTGCAATGTATCTTTTAAAACTAACACTTGTTCTACTATTATTGAGCACCTACTATATGACCAGCATTACGTATATTTATAATTTTAAAAATAAACACAAATATTAAAAAAACAAATAAGCAATAAGTTACTTTTGGTAAAAGCGTATGCTTTTTCCAATAAAGGCTAAAATCAGGAGTGCCACACTAGAGAGAACAAGAATGTCTAAAAGTTGCCCTATTTAGCAATAACACTAAAAAGGTAGCACAACTAGTAAGATTCTTCTATCCTCAAAATAAAGAAATTTTAAAACTTCTCCTAGGACTAAAACTTGTTTACTTTCTAACTCTTCTCTTTTTTTACTGTTATAAACTGTGCTAAGTTAGATCTCCCATGCCATCTTTATCTTTCTGCTTGGTTTTACAGCAATGTCCACTTTTCATTTTAGCACACACATTTATGATACATTTTCTGCTTCTATGCTCCTTTCCTAGATTTTGAAGTCAGTTACAATGGATGAATGTGTAACGATTTTTCATGCATAAGCTTTTAGCAAAATACTTGGATCAGAATAATTTAATGCAGAGGTTGGCAAACTACAGCTGAATACAGCCTGCATTCTGTTTTGGTAAATGAAGTTTTATTGTAACATAGCTGCACCTACTTGCTTATATTTGTTTACAGCTGCTTTCACGCCGTAACGGCAGAGTCAAGTAGTTGCACATTGACTCTATGGCCCACAAAGCCTAAAATACTTACTATCTGACCTTTTAGTTTAAAAAAAAAATTCCAACTCTAATTTAGTGGAGAAGATATAAGAACATAGACTATAGCATCTGAGAAATGCTATTAAAAGATCTGAACAATTAAGGAATCCTTGGGGGAGTAGTGAAAAGTTTCATGGAGGATATACTAGGTTTTGAAGAAAAAGCATAAATTTGCTGGAGAAAGGGGCATTTCAATGACTGACTTTCAGGAACAAAGGTATAGAGTCATAAAAGGTATATTCAGAAGAGAGACAGTTCAGTGAGGATGGATATTAAGGGAGTACAGTAAAAAACAGGCTTGAAAGTTAACTTACGGGCAACTATAAAAGGCTTTATATTTACACAGACAGTAAAGGGCCTGTTACATTAAGATAATAAGCCAGAATTTTAATCTATAGGCAGGGAGGAATAGAGTAAACTGATAAAGATAAGGAATGTTTCAAGGAATGTACTGCTAAAGGTAGTGTAGAGAATGGACTGGAGTGGGTCAGAGAGGTGGTATGAAAACTAGTCACCAGAATGTTGAAATAGCCTAGCCATTTGATACTTCTGAATCTCTTTATCCCTTTCACATGGTAATCTGAAATCCAACTCATGTGTTCTTTCTGACTTTCTTGCTCATTATAAGAATGAGAGAACATCCTAACTGGTCTTTCTATCTTTCTGACATAATTTCTTACTAATTTTAGCTTCTCTTCCCTTCCTCTACTCTTTAGTCACATAAAAATATCTACCCAACATTTCCCATCTTTCTCTGCCTTCTTTTATACTGCCACAAGATTTCTTCTGCTGAAATGCCCTTTTCTCTCTCCTTCTAGGGCTGGCAAATTCCAACCCTTTCTTCAAGACCTGGATAAACAGAACATCCTTCACGTGTCTCCAAAGTGCAAGGCCTGTCTCCAGAACATTTTGCCTACCTGAATATTTAAGCATCTTCCCTTGGGGTTTGTACCCAACCTGCCCAAAAAGACAAGAATGGTAATTACTAGGATTTTTACCTTCTAGACAAACTCAGACTTTTGGGTGTTTCTATAATATAAATTTACCTTTGCAATTGAGGACATTTAACAGAATACACCTCAGGATCTAAAGGCAATTTAAAATTTTAAATTCCAAAAATATTTTGAGCAAAGGCTCAGAATAATAAGAGGTTCAGTAACAGATTATCTGAAGCGGACAATATTCATTCAAAGTATACAATATTAAATAAGCAAGAGATGTTAGTGACGATGGCCCAGGTCCTGGGCTAAGTGCTTTATGTGCATTATTTTTAGTTAATTTGCATAATAATTCAATATACCATTATTAACATTATTTGAAGTATGATTATTAAAACATGATTTGTGATCCTTCACATTTACATTACTTCACAAGCAAAAACGGAAGGAAAAGTAGATTATTCAAATTATTTTAGAAATTGCCTAGTATTATTAATGATTATTTCAGACTCTGAGAACCAAGGGTGCCAGATTCTATTTTGATATTTTTTCTTAATAGTAAAACTTTTACCGAAAGTTATATAATAAAATGCGAGTTTGTTTTCAGTCTAGGAAAATCTAATTACCAAGTTTCATTTTAGTGGCAAAATAAACCATTATCTAATTTGCCCACTGAAAGGGATAGCTGATGACAGTACTAATTTGTTTCAAACTTTACCCTTTAACCTATACGATTCTCAAATTCTTTACTGTGGAAGTAGAATATTTTGTGGAAACTTGACAGATTTTACTACATTGGGTTAGCTGGTGAATATAATAATTAAAAGTAACGGCTAATAAATAGGCAAAAATTAGAATACCCAGTTTATTTTCGTTTGAGGATAAGTATTTTATATATGGCTAATTTCAAACAAACCTAGAATTCTAGACTTGGGAAGATGACAGGTTATTAAGATTTAACTGTGAAATTCTTACTGGTATATAAAGAGAAACAGTCTTTCAGGTGCTGTCTCAGGACTAAGCCCTGCTTTTGGCCATGTGAGGAAAAAATATGGTCTATACCAGAGACCGAAAGCTGGTCGTATACAAAATGCATCCATATCCATCCAGACATTTTTGTGTGGTATACAGTGTTACAAGAAATGTGAATTGGATATCAACATTGAGAAATTGTGAGATTTCACACAAAAGGTCCAGTTTTTTGGCTGCTCCTGAAACCTCAGAAGATCTGGCAGCACTGGATTCACATTCCTAAATGGCATTAGTTAGCAATAAATCACGGTAGCTAAGGAAAGGCTGCTCCCTTTATATAAGAAATGAGTATTCCACTTTGTCCAAGTCCCCACTAACACCTCTTAATTTACCTATCTAGCCTCTGAAGCATGGACATTTCTGCTACGCTAACGAAACTGCTGAAGACACACGTATCTGCATACTTCATTGCTAACATCCATTCTGAATTTACAGTGCATATAACCATAAAATTTTTAAAATATATTTGAATATTAAAATTAAAATTTATTTCTAACCATAGGAACTTCTAACAATAAAAGGATTTATAAAGTACCTTTCAAAATATTCACCCTACTGAGCTAATTTATTGATTTAAATGAAAACAAAGCCAGGTCAAATATAAGCATTCTAATTTAATTAATAGAACACTACTTTGAGAGTACCACATACTTCTTTTACAACATTATTTTTCTGTGCAGGTTATGGCTAGGGAAAAATTCACCTTAAAACGTGGCCAAGACTAGTGGTCTACTTTTATGACTTGTCCCTATAGTCACATCATTAGATTCTTAGTTACTATATCATGTTCAACTGCAGGAATACTATCCTGGCTAATTGTTGCTATGTTAATTTTCCTAACACACAGCTCTGATTAAATCACCACAATTTAAAGAATAAAGTCTACATTACTGAGTTTGGCATTCAAGGCTTTCTATTACTTGATCTCAACTCCACCACCAACCTTATCTCCCGGGAATCTCTTTCACACATCTTACATTCAGGCAGGGTGTCTTTTAATATACTTCCAGGTCTTCCCACCCAAACCTCAGATTATTGAAATCCCATCCATTTTTCAAAACTCAAGTTAAATGCTTCTCCAATTAAATGATCCCAAACCCCTACTTTCCCCTCTCCACAAAGCTCTGAATCTGCATTGCACCTTTGTGCAGCTTTAAAAAAATTATGACTTTCAACTTGTATTGTAGCTGTTTTCATATATGTCTTATGTCCCCTATTATATGAACTTCTTATGGTAGGATATGTCTTACTAATCAGTGGACAGTTACAGTCAATAAATATCTCTGGTCTATGTGAATAATATTTCTTGCTCCCATTTTGTAGGATATGGAACGTTACTTCTTATACCCAAACTGATACAAAACCTTCCGTTTAGCTAACCAAAGAAATAAAAAATGGCTTAGAAATAGATTCTAAGTATTTACTGACAGAATGCCTTTTAAAAATATTGAAAGGATGCTGGCACTGAACTTATTTCTAAAAATTGAATTTCTAGAAATGAGTACAGTGTACTGAAACGAACGTTTGTGTTCAAACTATCTTCAAGGTAGACCTACACAATTTCACACCCTCTGCTTCCCTTGACATTTTTGACACACTAAGTCTAATCACGAGAAACATTAAACCACCAACGCCATCATAATTAAGCCAGTCCCTCCATTTCCTAATAAGTTCCCAAACTATTTCACTAGACTGCTTCTTAAGAGGCGAATTTACTTACATTGGCCATTGCTAGCGGAGAGGGCAGACGCAAAAGATCTTTCCTTCTGCAAAGTTATTCCTGGGAAAGGAGAGAACAAAACGGGCTGGTGACGGATTAAGCTCTAACAGACAGCTCGGGCGGCGTCCACCGTCTGCTACTGTGTTCCTCCCCCACGACGGGCCAAGGTCCGCGCTCCCCCGCACCCACGGAGGCCCGATTTCGCCGCCGGCCGCAGACCCCTCCCGAGGAGGCCGTGACGCTCCGAGCCCTCCCCGGTCGGTGCCCGCTGACAGCTCGGCCCAGATCCCGGCGGGGACAGGGGAGCCGGCGGCCAGGATACAGGCCTGAGGTCGAAGCAAGTATTTTAACACAGGTCAGGGCTGCCTGACAACAGCTCCAGGCAAAAGTTGGAGCCGAGCTGAAGGATGAGGAAGCGAAAAAGTGCCTCAAGACAGAATGATAGAACGACTAGGGATAGCGACAGGGGCCCTGTGGGAATAGCGGCAATACCGAGAGCTGTGGCCCGAAGACGGGCGAAATTGGAAGGGCTAATGCGGGCGGAAACCATCGTACCAGTCACCCCCACGGCCTCCAGTTGTCCCAGACCCTGACTCTTCCCGCCGTCAAAATGGCGGCGGCGACGGTAGCGGGGCTACCGACAAAGCTGGCAGCGACCAGGCTGAAGATGTTGCTTCCGAGCGCATCGATGCGAAGGAGTGCCGAACCAATGATGCGCATGCGCACAGTAGGCTACGTAGAGCCGACCTTCCATTGGATACTCCTGGGCACACGATGTGGGAGGAGAAAAGGTGAAGTGGGGAGAGAGGAGGGCTCCTGAGCTGGGTTAGGCGGGTCATTTCGTTTCGTTCTTTAACTGGTTGATCCATTTGATAGATTCCTCCCACCCGAAGAGATAAAATCTGTTCTTTGTATCATAGTTGTTTATGTTTCATGAATCACTGTTTTTGAGCATAGGGCACTTAGGTTTTTCTCTTTGTGTACCAGGCCCTTAGTAGGCTCAATAAATATATATTTCAAAAGACTTATTTATAAATAGTATATCATTTTTATTTATCAATTGTATTTTTTAAATTTACTGAAGTTCATACTTTATTCATACTGTTATTTATAGTTGGGTCATATTGGGCAGGTTACTTAGTTTCTTTATGCTTTAGTTTCCTCACTTCTAAAACGGGAATAATAATAGTGCCCATCTCATAGACTATTTGTGAAGATTAAATGAGTATATATAGCTAACACTTATATAGCAATACACACACATACACACAGAGCTCAGAGCTTGGGAGTCACAGAAGGCTTCTGAGAAGGGACCACTTAGTTGATTTTTGCAGTTACTTACAACTCATTATTTTTTCATGCTTCATAATTTCTCTTTAGATTTGGCTTACTTGTCCAGGTTATATAACAGGATTTCTAGTTGAATGATGACTGTAAGCTTTTTGAGACCAGGAACCATATGTTATTCATCTTTGCCATGATAGAAAATCATCTGTCAGGAACTGGTGGGAAATAAAGGGAGTCAGTGATCAATGGTGTGGCAGGAGGCTGTCAGGAATAACTTCACAGACGATATGATGCTTCAACTATGTTTTGAAAGATGAGTAGGTGTTTGCCTGAATGCCAAGAAAAGATGTAGAGGGGTGAGGACGTCGCAGGCAAAGGAAGCAGTGTGAATAGAGGTATGGAATCCAAAACACTATGAGCAGTTGGAGAGATCCACAAGCAATCAAGGGATTAAGTTGGAGGTAGACACGAGCCAGATCAGAGTCAGCCTTCAGTGCAATAATAGGGTAGATGTAATCCCACAAGCAAAGAGAAGCAACTGGGCAGGTTTAAGCAGAGTCATGGCATTATCAGATTTGTGTCTTGGGAAGATCCTCTGGCTGCAGTGTAGAGGATAGGTTGGAAGGGTATGGGACTGGAACTGGATCAACTGGATTGGAGACATTGCTGTATCCATGAGAAAGAACATGAGAGCCTGAACTAAGGGCAGAGGGAAGTTTAGGAATCAACATGGCTTAGCTGTCTATTGGTTGCATGTGAGATAAAGGGGATAAATTAAAGAAGACTCCTAAATTTTTGATATAGCATACTTGGTGAAAGGAGTTGCTTGTGCTGAGATTGGGAATCCAGTAATATGAATGTTTGTGGAATGTACGCTCTGTGGCAGCACTTGGATAGAGATTTTCACATTATCTATTTTAATTCTCATAACAATCCACAAAATGGAGGTATTATTTTCCTCAGGTTCAATATGAAGAAATTAAAGCACAAAGAGGTTAAATATATTACTGAAGCTTCCAGGGCTGGATTTAAATCTAGGTCTGTTAGGATCGAAAATAGTGTTCTCTTTCCCGTAGATATTGTCTCCTAGGAGGAGAACAGGTTTTAGATAATGTGTTTGGCTTGGGATATCTTGAGTTTTAAGATGCCTGAGGGACATTCATATGGAGTTGTCACCAAGTTGTTTGAAAGTAGGCTTATTGTTCAGGAAAGTGGTTTATGTGGGAGACAGAGATTTGAGGGTCAGTGACATATGGGTAATAGTTAAAGCCATAGGAACCCCTTAACCTGGAGTCAACAATGGGTTTTACAAGAAGGGAGGAAGGTCAACTCCTGAAAATGTATGTAAATTTTTGTATATTTGTAAGTAAATCCATTTTTTTCCCCTAGGGAGAGGGTGCATAGCTTCTTCAGATTCTTAAAGGAGTTCATGACTCTGAAAAGATCAAGAACCACTAGTGTCAAGTATAAAAGAAAAAGAGCAAAAGTCAGAATACTAGGAAATATTAATTAAAGGGGTAACAGAAGAAGAAAAACTAGCAATGGAGACTGAGAGGTTTCAGGCAAAGGGTGGAAGGAAATCTGGAGAGAGAGAGAAGTATTCTAGACATCAAGAAGATAATTGCTCAATATTACTTAGATGCTACTAAAAGGTCTTATTGAGGACCAAAACCAGTCCATCATATTTGATAAATAGGGCAATGGTGACTTTGCCAGAGGAGTTTCACTGGAGTAGTGGGGGAACAGAGTTTTGATTACCGTAGATATTCAAAGAATGAAACATATACCTCTTGTGGACAGAGACTTTATCTATTTGTTCACTGCGTGCCTGGGACTTCACTGTATTTCTGCCACGGAGAGGTGATCAATAAATATTTATTGAAAGTTGAACAGATGAAGAAGTGGTGACCTTAATAACCAGCTACCATTAGTAACAGCTGCTCTTTGTTCTATTTCCAGGCTCCATACCTCCATAACATCTATCTACTCAACAACTCAGCTGAGGGAGTAGTAGCGTCTGCACTTCATAAATGAAGAAACTGGGACTCATAGAGGCTAAGTAAACTGCCTGATGCCACACAGCTTCGTGTAGTGATGAATATGAGATTCAAACTCAGATTTGTCTGGCTCCAAAATCTCTGTTCCTTCCATGACAACAAAACTAAGGAGAAGAGAGAGAGGTGAGTAGCTGTCTCAACTGTTAATCCAGTTTTCCCTTATCTTTTGCCTTCCTCCTTTCACTCTCTCTTGGATGTTTTTATTCTTCAGAGACAAAGCAGAGCCTTCATAGACCTATAAAGATTGATCAAAGTAACAGATTATGAGATTGTTCAGAGGCTAATATGTAATCCTTGGGGCTTTCTTTCTCATCTCACTCTCACAGCTACCTACATTATGCTTTTTGATAAACATATGGCTTCCTTTTATTCTAGAAAAAACTAACTCTCAGTGACAAAGGATGCGTACTTAAGCACATTGAGGAATATATAGTCATCACTAAGTATTGCAGCTAGCTCTTTCTGTAAAGACAATAGGATTATAAAACCAAAAGAGACAAGAGGGGCTATTTTCTGCTCAGGCAAGCATATCTAAAGCACAATTAGAAGTTTGGAAGCAATATTCTGTGTTATTTTAAGAAATGGAACTATTACATGGAACTGTTACCTGGTTGCAAGAAAATAACATTTAAAAGAAAGATGATAATAGAAGTAAAGGATGTGGATAAAAGTATGTGAACACTTGGTTTTTATTCTTTGACTTGGTCACATAACTCAACTGTTGAGAATACGTCTTTTTAAGTTGCCTGTATCAATGCTGCAATAGCTTTTTAGTATTTGATATGTTAAACTAGGCATATGTTCTGGTCATTTCTAGAAAACTCAAGATTTTCCTGGAAACCCCTTGTATATCCTAGCTATCCGTTGCTAGATGACAATATGTGAATGTTATAGAGAAATGTTGTAGAGTGAATGTTATATGTCTGTAGGGCATAATGAGGAGCCCTCAATTTAATATTTTGGGTTTTAGCTTGAATATGATTCATACAGTGTATTAGTGGACTTTAATTATGATACTAGGTATAACTATTACCTATCTGCTCTTCTCTCTGTCTCTCTCCTCATCGTTACAATGGAGACAATAATATTATCTACCTCATAGATATTTTGAGGATTATATGAGATAATCCATGTAAAGAATTTAGCACAATGGATTTAGCACATTTAGAAGGTGTCCAATAAATGTCAGGTGATATCATCTTCATCATCTTCATCAACATTATCATTATCATCATCAATGAACTCCTCTGAACTCCATTCTTATAGGCGTGACTACCATGAAGATGTTGGCCTGCTTTGTTCTAAGCTATTTCTCCTCGAGGTGACTGTGGCTATCTTTTGGAACTCAACACATGTAGATAGAGCAGAAAACAGGGTGAGGAGAAAATTTAGGCAAAAGCAATTTAACCACTGAGCGAGAAGTATCTGCAAATCACATTTTGTAAACTCAAGATTCAGCCTGTGGTGATCTAACTGCAGAAAGAAGTGGAAATGCTTAGGTTTAACATGAGGGTTTAAAGCTACTTGGGAGCTTGTTAGAAATACATAATCTCTGGCTCCATCCCAAAACTACTGTCCCGGAATCTCTATTTTAACAAGATCCCTAGTGATCCACATGCACAATAAAGTTCTTTTGAATGAGATTGACCGGGAGATAGAAAAAGTACGGCAGTAGAGGGGATGGCATAATGTACACCACATATATAGAATCAGAATCTATGAGGGGCTTAGGAATCTGTATTTTAACATGCTTCTCAGAGAATTTTTATGAACACTAGAATTTGAGAACCACAGGTAAAAGATAGCAACTGTGTTAGATAGAAGTGCAATACACTCTGTGAACACCAGCTGTCACTACTCTATAGTTTAAAAACGACCCTGATAGGTAGCCAAAGGAATTAATACGAGAACATTTTCTAAATTTGAAATGTAAAGATCCAGGGAAAATGAACTCCAAGTTAAACAGATTTGGATTATCCTGTGATTTTATTAAAGATCTCTAGGACGTATTAAGGGCTTACAAAGAGCAGTGGTTGGAGATTTAGAGATTTGGGGTACACTTGTATAAACCTATGACAGTGTTGTAATGTCTCACTGTACTTGGGGAAATAAAATGAATATTTGTGGTTAAAAATCAAACTGGATTCTGCAGTCTGAAAGTATGTAAGGCAGCTCAGCAACTCTTTCTGAGAATATCTTCATTTTCCTGGCCTTGTGTCCTGATGTTAGTTTTATATCGGGTTTGCCAGGTATTTAACTTCCATCTGCAGCTCGGGGATGGAAAGTC